CCAATAGAAAAATTAAAATGATATTAAGGCTGCCACAGTCAAGGAACTAAGCTATTTTGACTTGATGTTGAATGCTGTAAAATACTAATCACTGTAAGACAATGACATACATTTATGCCCCTTGTATTGATAAGCAGTTGTGGTGCACCGTTGAAGACTATTGTAATCACACATGTGCATACGCGGTTACTGTTAACCCACAATGAAAGCCTCTGTGCATCAGCCAGAGGAAATGATGAATGCCAGTCTGTTCTCCTGCACTGACTATCTGGCGGGGGAAACAAAGTGTCACTTTGTGCCTCCTCAGCACAGCAGCACTAACTAACAGACACAGGAGAACGCCCATCTCTCCTCGCTCAGCGCTCACTCTGCCTCGCTGACACACCTCCTCCCCTCTGACAGTACATGTGCTTCACTCCAACACGCGTCATGAACCCACACCGTCACCACTTCTCCAGAGTAGGCGTCTTTTAGAACTGCAATCAAATTTTAATCAATATGAGAATATTAAGGGATGTTTTCCCTGTCACTTTCTTGCACACACACACACACACACACACACACACACACACACACACACACACACACACACACACACACACACACACACACACACACACACACACACACACACACACACACACACTTGCTCACACACACAACTTTGCCTTCACTGCATCTGACACCTGACTCCAGGTAATGCCCTAGATCCACAGTGACAGCAGGCAGGTGGAACGACTCATAGATACCCTCGCACACAGAGCGCCTGCATAACGGTAAGAAAGCACTCTTATACAGAAAGTTACAAAAAATGTTAGGTAAAGCTCTCTGATGTAGGTTGACTTTAAATATAGCTGCCATTGATTCTTTGTGTATTTTTGACTGTGTGCATAACCCTTATAGGCAGCTCATGTCGTACTGTGTGATTCAGTGAAGTGTAAATATATATCTGCACTTGTGATATTCATAGTTGACATCAACCAAAAATGTATAAGCTACAGTGTTAGAGATGCTCAGGTATGAGACGACAGCCGTTCCTGTTTGTTTGCACGCTTGAGTATTGTCTCTTAACAATTGGCTAATGTGGAAAATATAACCATGGTCATGTGATACATGGTGCGTGTCACTCTGAAATCCATTGTTTCTCCACATTGTGGACAAGTGCCAAGAACACCTCACAGCAAAACGTTTGAACAAAAATAAAACGTTATATAATTTAAGGAGGTAGTGTGTATTGCCGCACTGTTGGACTGGGTCGTTTGCAGTCCTGTATTGCACTCAAAGCTAGTACTGCTGGTTGTTTAGTATCTATTAACAGGTTGTAACCCACATTTGGTGGGATGGCTTAAGGATTGGCAATGTTTGTTAGTCAAGTGGTCTACTGCTTTGGTGCAGACTGAAAAATGTCAACAACTAGAGGATGGATTACCATGCAATAGTTCATGTTTTCTGGAAGATGCATCCTACTGACGTTGGTGATGCCCTGACTTTCTCTGTAGAACAATCAGCGGGTCCACATTTTATTTTGTCAATGCGATATGCAAAGTTGTTGGGGTATACATACTTGTTCAGACCTCCCCACCTAGAACACATTCATAGCTTTGCATTGAATTGTTCACATGGAAAGTTGTGTTAAGAAAGAAAAAGAGAAAGCATGAGAGAGAAACCCTGCGTACTTTCTGTCTTCCAAATAGCTGGTCAATATTGGTGAATGTCAGCTTCTGAAAGTAACAAAAAAGGTCGAGCATAGCCCCATTATTTTAAGTCGGTTCTGCAGCCACTTGACCATCCGACAGGCGGTTCTGATGAAACATGCTGACAGCTCTCATCTTGGTAATACTCTTTTCCTCAGCTCTAACTGAAGCTGGGTCCGACATGCTGAGCTGAACGTGTTCACTGACACACATGGGGCTTTGTTTTCAGCCATGCATGAACATTAGCTGTTGGCGCTTTGCTTATGTGTTTACTATCTTTGTTCCCTTTACAATCTGAATCACGCAAAGGTGAAGGGATTTGAGTTATACAATATGTCGGTATTTTGGTATTAAAATAGGCCTCTGATGTGATTAAAATAGATACAGACCGAGTTTGTTGTCATCTCAATATCACCCAGTTGATCATTTGGAGATTCCAACGGCACGTGCAAAATCATAACGGAAATGTGCAACAATTATATAATAGTTAAAAAAACACAACAGAAAGTAAATGCTAGCAAGAATGCCAGTAGAGCAGTCTGTGATAAACAATGATAACATGGATGACTTTTAGAGTTCAACACCACACGCCGACAGACTGCTTTTATATGTTATTTTTGGTTTCACATGTAGCAGGTATGTGGAACATTTCAATTAAAATGTCAAAAGAAAATTGAATGAAATGCAATGTGTATACAGTATTTCATGTTTCATCATTAATACATTAAAATCATTTAACTGCAGAGCTGTGTAGCATTATCACAGTTCAGCCGAGGACATATTTCTCTGTTTGAATTGTTTTTTATTTAGGCATTTTAAATATTCCCTGGAGATAGACATTCCGTGGATGCTTTGGACTGTGTCCAGAGGATGCTATTTTTATGATTAAAAAAAATCCTAACTTAGAAGTGGCAGCAGCAGCTGGTGGAATCAAGGCCTTCTTTCCAATCTATCTGGATTTAGTTTTGTTCAAATAAGATATGTTTTCAGAAATAAGAACTCTCCTGATCCTTAAACAGGCTCCTGTGGCAACTACCAGCATGTCCTGACTTGCTTTACTGTCAGTACTGTCAGCAGTAGTGACTGGCTGAGATTATGATTAATCACCACACACACATGATATTAATTTTCCACATGTGTAAATGCCCAACCCTTTTGCATGGCGTGCTCCAACACTTGGTTTACTTGGAAACTCCTCCGTTGTTCTTTGTGCTGCTCAGTGCAGCTGCAGTTGAAACACCAGCAGAAACACATTCATGTGTACGCCAAGTGAACTATTTCAGTGTGTTTGTAGAGAGGAGGATTTGGTGGGAGGCTGCTCAAACTTCAGAGAAAGGTGGAGATTGGGACAAAGAGTTGATGTTGATGAGACTAGAGTCTAGACCCTAAAAGAGTGACGCAATAGTGCAGTATAGATTTCTGATAGAACATTTTAAGTGCTTCCTCATCTAACCCCTCCCCACGTCACCCCCTCATGCCATGCTAATGTTTCCCGTCGTGAGTGCAACTGACAGATCTAACAAACCCAAACTGTCTCTGTTCTGTATTTATTTCACCGTTTTCTCCCAAAGCAACAGCGGAGGCAGCATCAAGGCTCTTCTGGGTAAAACAAGCTTTGTGCAAAAGAACAGATCGATGTTCCCTAAGGTTTTACTGCAGTGGTGTGCAGCCGTCTCGAGCTGTGCAGCTGAAATAGGTAAAACACGGCTCCGCCAAGTCCGTCCGTCTGCTTTGTCAGCAAGCTACTTGTGCTGTGAGGTTATGGCACTTAACCGCTACAACACTAAGAAGCCATGCCTTTGGACGTTGTAGTTGTCTGGTGCAGAGATGTGTCACCATCCAAATGATGTTGAGCTGTTGGGTCGTTTACAGAGCGCAGCATCGTGTTATGCCGCCGCCATACTCTGATGCAGCTGTATCCTTGTCAAAGGCATCTCTCTCTGCTTCTGTAGAGCACATGGCTGCTCTTCGTGCTTTTCTCATCCCATCTCTAGCTGACCCTCAAGTCGGTCCGCTGCAGCAAACAGACTGCAAACACACTCCAGTACACAAAATAACAAGGCACACACTGACTTCTTATCACACTTGCTCAACATCAGGAATTGCAGCCAATTCCAGTAAATAAACAAAACAAGATTTCACAATATCTCTCTTTACACCAGCAGACACAATCAAATACTGTCTGTGTTCCAACGCCCGACTACCAAACATGCTTGTTCGCTCCTTGTTCTACGCTGGCAGGACAAAGAGCCTTTATTGGGTCGAGACATTTCTGAGAGAGTCTGTCCGGCTCTGTCCCCGTGAGGAAGGAAGCCCACGGCATGCTGATCCAACTGGAGACAGCCGGCCTCTCTCTGTCTCTCTCAGTACTGTCTCACGCTCTCTTTTGATTCTAACGCTGCCGGCCTTGTGGTTTCACACACATTTCCTGCTGCACATCAGAAAACCTCTGGCTCGGCCAACATGCTGCAGACAAGTGTGTGAGGAGGCAGTCTGTGCTGGTTGGTGGCAGTCCACAAAAAGTACCCTGAACGCAACACTTTTGTTTTTGCTCCCTTTTTTCATGAGATGAACTCAAAGATCTAAAACATTTTCTATATACACAAAATAACCATTTCTCTCAAATATTGTTCACAAATCTGAAAAAAGCTGTGATAGTGAGCACTTCTCCTTTGCCGAGATAATCCATCCCACCTCACAGGTGTGGCATATCAAGATGCTGATTAGACAGCATGATTATTGCACAGGTGTGCCTTAGGCTGGCCACAATAAAAGGCCACTCTGAAACGTGCAGTTTTGTTTTATTGGGGGGGTCCGAAAACCAGTCAGTATCTGGTGTGAGGGGTAGGGTTAGGGTTAGGGTAATGTTGTGAATCGAGTGGCCTGTGTTCGTCGTCCATAACATACGCCTGCCCATACCATAACCCCACCACCACTATGAGCCACTCGATTCACAACATTACCCTAACCCTAACCCTAACCCTACCCCTCACACCAGATACTGACTGGTTTTCGGACCCCCCCAATAAAGCAAAACTGCACGTTTCAGAGTGGCCTTTTATTGTGGCCAGCCTAAGGCACACCTGTGCAATAATCATGCTGTCTAATCAGCATCTTGATATGCCACACCTGTGAGGTGGGATGGATTATCTCGGCAAAGGAGAAGTGCTCACTATCACAGATTTTTTCAGATTTGTGAACAATATTTGAGAGAAATGGTTATTTTGTGTATACATTTTTTTTTTAGATCTTTGAGTTAATCTCATGAAAAATGGGAGCAAAAACAAAAGTGTTGCGTTTATATTTTTGTTCAGTGTAAATAAGAGCTGGTTTGTGTGGTTATTCCTTCCGCGGATCTCTTATCATTGGAACATGTTCAACGCCGGTGCTATTAGTTTCTTCTTTTATTGGTAATTACGGAACTTTCTGGAGCTGTATTATCTTATATGTGGAGTTGACTAATTCTGCATCAACTAGCCACAACAGAGTGGCTTCAGGGGGCTTATGTTGCTTTTAAAACAGCAGAGGCTTTATTTAGTGGTATATATGCTAAACAAATTATCCACCCCGCATGTGCTTGAATGATGCTAAGAGGGAATGGAGAGCAAATAAAAACAACAAAGTCCAACTGCAGCGACCCCCCCTCACAATGTAAACATTCAGGGTCACTTTCCTGATCTCTCATATGGCTCTGCTCAATTTTCCGCTCACACTTGAACTCTCCTGCAGTACAGACAATAACATCATCCACATGCTCACCTCCTTCTTCTCTCACCACAGCCAAGGTGTGCTGTGACCATGGCAACGGACGCCACGGAAACTAAGCACGAGATGCTTTTAGAGGTAACCGAATCGAAAGGCCCAGGTAAACAGGAAAAAATTAGTTATTTTCAGCGACATCTTAAAGAGACAGTGTGTCAAAGTGGATTCAGTGATCACATCATGAGGATTAAATGACCTCTGTCACTGTCTGTTCAATGTGTTCCATTGTCTCTTTAAGATCTGCATGGTGTGGTGATGGGTTTGATTCAGCCTTTACATGCGAGTGGTGTGCTGTGTCCACTTGACGACTTCTTTGATCTCCTTTACCTATACTTCTTTTTAGGTGATGTCTGTGCAAAAAGAAGAAAAAACACACAAAGATGTTATGTCACTTACATTTAGTGAGTGTTATGATGCTTGTTTTTATGCTAACAGGCTGCTGGCCGTTGTTTTCTATATTGAACTGACAGATATTAAAGCGTTATTTATCTTCTCATGTAACTAGAAAGCCAGAAAAGGGCATTTCCAAAAATGTTAGACCTGCTTGCATTAATATCAGAACATTGTGCTGTTGCATCGTGTGCATTTAAAAAAACAAAACATGTTTCTTTCCACTTTAAGTTGCCAGATGTTAAATATTCTCCTGAGGACCTGGGTCAAAACGCACTGCATCGCAAGCACACAGGAAGTCAGAGTTAACCTCAGTTGGTTGGGTGCTGCTCTGTAGAGTGCTGCTGCTGCTGAGTTGTCTACGCGGCAGAAAAAAATTGTCCTTTCTCGTTTCACGCATGAGTGTGTGAGCATGCCCACGGCAGTGCATTATGGGCTTGGGATCAGAGTAGAAACACTGGACGGGCACTGATGCTGGAAGAGCATTCTGCAGGGAAGCAGACCATCTGGGTCACATCAGAATATCCCCTCACATATTCTCAAAACTGCAAAGACTCCCGATTTGGGAAAAAAAAGGAAAATATTTCTACAAAAATATAAATTCATGAGAAATTTGCCAAAGATTTCTGATTAATTTCAAGTCCTTCTTTAGACATAAAGCTAAGGAAACCAATTTAAAGCTAACCCACCTTTATTAGATCTTCAATCTGATGTAAACATCAAGGTCCTAAATATGATTTACCCATGGTGAAAATTAAAATCAAAAAGGGACAAAAACATAAGAGAGAAAACAAGGAAAATATTAAAACAGTGAGGTCTCCTCGTCATCACGCTGTAATATATCTCAGAACTGATTGATTGCTGAGTGATACAAAAACTGAACTGCAGGATTTCCCAAAATGTCATGTCATTGTTTTAGACAAACGACTTATTGATGAATCAAAAGAAGAATCAATTGGTAATGAAATCAATTGTTGACTTCCAAATTCCTTATGTCTACAAATATACATTGAAGGAGACCTTAGTAAACCTTAATGTGTATTTTTGTCCAGAGTTAGATGAGTGAATTAAGACCATTATGCAGCCACCATTAGCAGCCTGTTGGCTTAGACTCGAAACAGTAAAACATATACCATTGCTTTGTCCAAAAATGGCTAAATCTACCAGCATCTCTAAAAGTGAACACCAAGCCTCTAATCTTTACAAAACAACTGTAAAAACAATACGTTATAGTTTTACTGGGTTTAGATGCTGGACTATTCCTGTGTTGGGAGCAGCACATAACGCCCCAGTAGAACCACAAATTGTTTACACATTGGATGTATGATTGAACAACAAACATATATTCATATTTATGAAGTAGTAAGAGACTCTTCTCCAAACATATGACTGTGGCTGCAAAATGAGTTTAGACATCTGTCACAACTGTATTTGTCCCAGTCTGAAATGTTGCCTTTTATACAGATACAGGGTTTTTGTGTAAAATAATTGAATATCTGGTAGACAATTGATTTCTGGTGGCGTGTGGCGCAGTGGGTTCTATGTAGGTGTTCGGATCAGGGGGTCACAGGTTCAGACCCCACTGCAGTCAGCATGTCGTTGTGTCCCATGGGCAAGACACTTCACCCCAAATTGCTCCTGTGGTGATTGTCCGCAGTATTGAGTATGTAAATCGCTTTGGATAAAAGCGTCTAACAAGTAACATGTAATGTCATTTCTATTGATTATTTGAGTGACACTCCTAGAAGACAAAAACTGTTATTTTTAATTGAACTGCTTTTCATAAAGGCGTACAACAAAATAATCCGAACAAACACTTCCCACTCTGTCCTTAAAGTCCTATGTTTGTCAGTACACAAATACATACCAAGCACTTAAAACTCTCCCACGCAAAAATATAAAGAGTTGAGACTGTACATGGGGAAATTAGTTTACTGTATCATTTCCCATGATGCCTCTGGTACAGTGAGCAGCATGCAAAGTGAAATCCCACACCAGTTGCTACTTATAGCTCTGAAAGGGATACCCACAGAGGCCTGAGAACGCCTGTCTGCACAGTGGTGTAGAGTAGCTCTGTAACCTCACCCTCTTAGTTCATGCAAGGGACCTCCATGAGTACACGGAGACAAAAACAAAACACACAGAGACTTACAAAGACACACAAACACCCTTTATTATATTTAATTTAACCAGAAGATATCTGTTTACATTTTTTCGAATGACATCATGTCAACAAATCTCTTCTTTGGAATCCCATGGAGTGATTAGAGCAATGTTTTCCCTTCAAGCAAGGGAAAGTTTAGCTTATGTGTAAGAGTTTACAACTTTCTCACTTGGAAGAGGATGAGGATATAGAAATATCATTCAAAAGTCCAAAAGTTTCATTACTTTCACGATTTCCTCATCAACCAGCACTTACAGGACTTTATTGCCGGCTGCTTTGCTTTATTGCATAGGTCAGGACAAGGTTTTTTTTTGCTAGCACATTGCACCGGAGCGATTAGCAGTGACATGTGTCATTAAGTTATAATGGGGGTTAACACCCATTAGTTTTGCATTAGATAATACACTTGTATCTCTTGGAGAGGCGTTATCTATTGAGGCGATGCAGTTAAAGTCTGATAATCAGCCACACATTTAACGTCAACTCCTTGGGGCCATGCAGACAGCTTGGATGTCGGGTTTTCACTGCTTTCCTTTCTCTCAGGACCAATCATGGATTTGGCTGTTTTCAGTCAGTGAATCAGGGATTTGTTCCCTATTTCTCTCAAGCTGCTATACTGCTGTGTGGGTGCTCCCTTTTTCTGCGTGTTGTTTATCTTTCCCACTTCTGTTTGAACACTAGTAAGTACGAGCCAAGGTTTTCTTCTCATTCCATCTGCTATTTTGATTTATTTTCTTCAAATAAAATCAATTGCATTTCATTATCCACACACACGCATACAAAAACACGCCCATAGGCACCGGCCTGCTCCTTATCTGAGGATATAAAGATTGATGATCTGATTGCATGTAGCCGTGGTTGTCATCTATTCTCTTTTACCCGCAGAGAGAAGACGACAGGGCAAATTCCAGCCCTTCAAACGACTATTCGGGAGAAAGAAGAAGAGGGAGGCCAAAGGGGGCTTTGATGGAGCAGAGCTAAAGGCCAGTTTTTCTACCGGGGAAGTGCGCAATGGAGTTGTATCTGACGATGAGGAGTCCAGTCAAAATCTGAGGTAACTACAGAGATGAAGTTTCATTTTGTGATTCTATTCTTATGTGATACATAACGAAACAAAGCTTGTCCTTTTGCCATTGTGCTATTGCTCATAAAAACTGCAATCACAGGTTTTATTAGAGCCCACACAGGAAGTTACATCATATCATTTTCTTTCACTTCCAGTAAAGGGAAAGTGTTATAAACCCATTCTGCAAGTTGTTGGCAGTAATGACACCCTGAAGACATTCTTATTCTTCCACAGGGATTTGAATCCCATCGGATCACGAGCCCTCTCACACGACAGCATCTTTATTCCAGAGGAGCCGGCGGCCGAGGCCGCTCTAGATCACAGCATGTCCCAGGAAAACGTCTCGGATAAAGTCAGGAATCTGCAGGTGGGCCTTGTGGCGGTGTGCACTCAATTGCTGAAGAGTTATTTTTCAGTCTACAACCATAACATGTTTACTTTTTCTGTTGGTCAAACAGAAGCAGATAGCACAAGGTATAAAGTTTGGCCAGAGACCTCCTTCTTTAAGGAAAAGCGAGGGAGATGAGGGAAGTTCGGATGAGGAAGAGGTCCCTCGGAGTCCTCTGAAGGTTCTGGCCCAGGTAGAAGCCGAGCCAGCAATCACAGAGCCAAAGGTAATAACTTATTAACTTATGCATTCTGATGACGATTTGGTTCAGTTTTGAAAGGAGCTCCATAGATTTAATACACCACAGTCACAGGTCACGTGGAGTACTACTGCATGTGTGGGTAAAGTTGTATACAACCTTTTGTGGCTGCAGGGGGAGCTGTGCTAAATTAGGTGTTATTAACTGTTGTCATTTATTTGATGGCGTATTGTAGATAAAAAAAGAAGCTGCGGGGAGGGAGATAACATTCAGGGAAAAGCCTTTCATATTTTCTGCGGTTAAAGGAATTAATGAAATAAAAACATGAGTACTTCCTTATTGCTAATCCAGTTGCAAAGTACAATTTGGTAAGGCCATCCAGTGCATACAAACACACAGCATCTGTAGTGTGAAGAGGTTGATCCTTTCTTTCATTTGTGACTTCAGAGAATTTATGAGTTTCTTCTTGCAAATGTACCATTTTGAACTTGGTATTCCTCGAGTACTTCCCCACCTAGCCAGACCCTTATTTGCTTTAGGCTACGTTAGCCGCTAGCATAATACACGCAAATCTTTACATATCATTGGTCACAGTTGCTTTTTGGGTAATATGTGCACAATGTGTTGATGAGGAAAAAGAAGACAATAATTACAAAAATTAAAGGTGGGGTAGGTAAGTTTGAGAAACCGGCTCGAGATACACTTTTTGTTATGTTCCATGGAATGCTCTTAACATCCCGATAGCAATGAATATCTGAAGTGCTTTGACAAAAAATCCATACAAAATGTAAGCCGTAGTACTGCAAAAAGCACGACCAACCATCTGAGCCGGCCCGGCTAAAGTAACCGGATGGCCTACCTGCCTGCAGTGTTGCCAACTCCATAGTAAGGAAAGTAGCTATTGGCTGTCCGGAAAGTCGCCAGAAGTCGCTAAATGACGCCATCGCCTAATTTGCATATCATGTAATGGCGGCTGTAGGAGAGAGCATGGTACCTCTACCATGCTCAGTACAAAAAACGTTCCCAACCCTTCAAGGTCCTTGAAGGTCGGGTCCCGCGGCTCGTTAACTGCAGAACAATACGTGAGTCTCCAAACACCAGAAAAGTCCCTAATAACACCATTATAAATCGTTAGATTAGTCGTTAGTCGCTTTTGACACAAATAAGTAGCCGGAGGGTTTGGAAAGCCGCCAAATGTAACGAGAAAATCGCCAAGTTGGCAACACTGCCTGCCTGTCAGCCTTCCATCTGTGCACACATTTATATCGTGCCGTCATTGGTCATGTGCGCGTTCGTGTGTGTTGGAGGAGGGGCTCTGTAAGGAAGTGGCAGATTTTTTCCGGTTGTGTATTTTCAAATTCTAGCGCACTCGAGCTGGTTTCTCCAAAATTACCTACCCCACCTTTAATGATCTTCAAATGTATTGAATCTAAATTGATCCTTTGTTTTGCAGTCCAAGTCTGACTGTTTAATATTATGAGTGCAATGCATTATCGGCGGAGTACTCTTTTAAGGTATTTGCACAAAGATTTAATGCATTTGAGTTTTTAATAAAATGTGTTTTTGTGACAAAAGCAGGTCCAGGGGGCTCATCAAGCCGGACCTCACAGCACCCCAGTGAAGTCAACCAGGTCCAAACGAGTTCTTCCGCCCACTGGTACCATCGAGTCCATCAATCTGGACTCTGTTCCACAGTCTGTTCCTCGCCTGGACAACACCGCTGCCAGGCATAAGCTGTCAGTCAAACCCAAAAACCAGAGGATTTCCCGCAAACACAGACGGCTTACACAGGTGAGTCTACCCACGAGTCGTCTCAGATAAGCATGTTTTGGGTTTATTCTCTGACATTTCATACCCTTTTTTGGGATTAACAAAATAGGAGCTAATGCTTTTTTCCACATTCCCAGGACCTCCAGGAAGTTGATATTCCTGGTGTGTTGCAAGAGGACTTCGAAGCAGCAGGTTTCTCCACAGACGCCCAACGCAGAGCATCTGTTGAGTCCCTAGGAAGCTTCAAGAAACAGAGACTACATGAGGAGGAGAGACAGGAGACGAGGAGGAGGAGGGACCTGGAGGAGCAGAGACTCAGACAGGAGGAGGAGGAGAGGAGGAAGAGAGCAGCAGAGGAGCTGAGGCTGCGTCAACTAGAGGAGGAGAGGTGTCGTAAACAGCACGAGGAGAAAGAGAGAAAGCTTAGAGAAGAGACGGAGAGGAGGAGGATTGAAGAGGAGAGAATAATTAGAGAGGAAGATGAAAAGAGGCGACGAGAGGAGGAAGAGCGGATGCGAAGGGAGGAGGAGGAAAGGAGGGTGCGGGAGGAGGAGAGGAGACGAATGGAGGAGCAGAGGAGGAAAGAGGAAGAGGAAGAAGCGAGGAGGCAGCAGGAGCTCGAGGCTGAGAAGAAGAGGAAGCTAAGAGAGGAGGAAGAGCAGAGGAAGAAAAAGGAGGAAGCAAAGAAGCTGAGGTTGCAGGAGATTGAAGAAAATAAAAGGTTGGAAACGGAGAGGATGAGGAAGGAGGAGGAGGAGCAGAGGAAGGCTGAGGAGGTGCGCTGGAGGGAGATGGAGGAGAGACAGAGGCCTTTCTCTTTCAAAGTTTCCTCTGGAGATAAACAGATTTTGTTCCAGAAGGTCAACCTGACGCCTGTAACGCCGACGTCCAGCTACCAGAGCGCTGCTGCAGCCGAGCGAAGAGAGAGCGCGTCCTCCTCTGAAGGACCAGAGTCCCCCAACCTGCCAACGTCTCCATTCGTCCCCCACACCGCCATCCTGGTGACGGGCGCCCAGCTCTGTGGGACGGCCGTCAATATGGACCAGATCAAAGACAGCGCCTGCAAGTCTCTGCTGGGTTTGGGAGAGGATAGGAAGGCCCAGGGAACACCACCGACCAAGAGCAAGACCTCGCCGGACCGCAAGTCTGGCAAAACCAAGTCCCTCAACGAGTCCTCACTCTCTACAGACCAGTCTGTCCTGGCAGAATGGGCGAGCATCAGATCAAAGATATTCAAGGGGGTGGAGGAGGGGAAATACGACGAACAGCAAGAACAGAGCAAGAACCAGCCTCAGCCCGGCAGCGAAGACACGCCTGCGTTCTCCCACACCAACCTCAGGAAGACCATGTCCGCCAGCGCCAAGTTCTCCATCACTCCTGCGAAGAAGAAGTTTGGAGATTCCAACAGGAACTCTGAGGTGTTTGGTGCCGAGGAAAAGGAAGCAGGAGAGGAGGGTTCTTCGCCTGAAAGCCCCATCGCAGCCTCCCCGGCCCCAAGCAGCAAACCTCAGAACAGGACGAGTAAAACCGTCCGAATCGTAGAAAGAGGGTCAGAGGAGTGTATGTTTGCCAAAGACCTCCCCTCTTTCCTGGTTCCTAGCCCTGGAGGTAAACCTGAGGCGGCAGAGTTAAAGAGCAGGGGTCGAAGTGAGACGGGGGCGTCTGAAAGTGGAGAGGAGGGAGAGGAGGGAGGCCAGGAAGGCGACGACAATCCTTCGCCATTCGGCATAAAGCTGAGGAGGACCAACTTCTCCCTCCGCTTTCACAGCGAACAGTCTGCTGAGAAAAGGAAGAAGCGCTACAGTGCTGGGGATAGCTTTGACGGCGTCCCCTCCCCGCTCACCCCCATGGAGACAGACTCTGATACCTCCTCTGTCTTTTCTGACAAATCCATTAGCCCATCATCTCCGCAGAAAGAAGGCGCGGCGAGCAAGTACTTACACGCATCTTCCTCCCCCGCTGTGCCTCGGGCGAAACCTGGAAAGTCTTCCAGCTCCAGCACACACAGCGAAGGTGAGAAAGTGCTTTCCAAGCCACCCATCTACAGAAGACCAACCACGTCACCCAAACCAAGTGGAGCCGTCCCCACCCCTCCCCCGTCGCCGCTGCCTAAGGAGGTCCATGTTGTTGACGCTGTGATTCAGAGGACAGGGGCCGCAGAATCGTCCAGCCAGGAGCAGACCCTCAGGAGTGAGGAACATTCAGCGGTGGCTCAGCTTCACCGCAGCAGCCAGAGCCAGGTCCGAGAGGAGGAGGAGCCGAAGGAGAAGAGATCCTTCTTCCCCTCAATCAACATCCCCTGGAGAGAGAAGACAGACAGGAAGGCAGAGCTCATCAAGAAAGGTCAGCGCTACTTAGATATAGCACTATAGTTCTAATCTGGAGTCCTTGGTTTTTTATTTAGCGTCTCTGCATGGCTTAAAGCAGTGTTTCTCAAAGTGTGGGGCCGCAGAGATGTGATAGGTGGGACGCGATGAACGAGAGATTATTATTATTAGGCCTTTTTTTTTTTTTTTAAATACATTTTTTGGACCTCAGGCCGGAATCGAACCTGTTCCTCATGGGCGGTAGTGGAATGTTACAGCCGGAGACTCGCAATGGCGGTGGACTTTCACTGCGGCGGTGGATGCGGTACCAGGTGCTGTGAAAGTCCACGGCCCACCTATGCCAGAGCCAGCGGCCCACCGAAGGCAGCAGCCCACTAACGGCAGCGGCCACCGGGAAAAGTCACGAATCTCCCGATGGCCAATCCGAGCCTGCTCACACACAACTGAAACCAAAATCATTTACAGACATTAGGGATCGACCGATATGGCTTTTTCAAGGCCGATACCGATTATTAGTAATCAAGGAGAGCGATAACCGATATTTGGAACCGATATACATTTGCAGTAAAATCAGAAAATCTTGGTGTCAAAATGTAGAATAACACAAACTCCAACACAACTCAACACAACTTCTTTGAAATGCATTTAAGCATATATTATGTTTAATTAACTTTTAAACATCTTACAACTGGTTTCCTCTCTGTGCCCTTTTCTTTAGTGCAGCCATCTGCAATGAGTTAGAGAGAGAGACAAGAAGTGGGGCTGCAGGCTGACATGCTTAACTAACAATAATGCTTAATTTATTATATCTGTCTATCTAGCATAAAATCCCAATAAGCTGCTAGCAACTGCAAAACACTAGTGCTAGCTAATGTTTTGCAAACTATTAAAAGTGAGGCTATTACAGTAGACCTAACGTTAGTCTAGGAGCCTCACTTCTAATATTTTGCTAAACATTTGCTAGATACATGTTGGCTAGCTAATGAGCTTCACATATCAACCTGAAAAATAGCGAGGCTCCACTCGCAGCCCCTCCCCTCCGCACCAGTTACTCCGCTGCGAGACGCTGCACGCACCCCCAACTCTGACTGACTTCCCGCGTCCCTGTGTAACTGGGAAACTGATAGAATTGGATCATAAGATCGTGGTGTTTTTGCAACTTCAGCATAGGGGATAGGGATGTTTATTGAACTTCGGTTTAACACATGTATGGCTCTGCCGCTCAGCGCTGCTGCTTGCTTCAGTCTGTGTCGGCGTTCTTTCGCACCTGCCTGTAATCTGAGAAGGTCCCGCCTCTCTGGCTGGCTCCCGCCCGGAAAATCTTCAGTAATAGCCTATCAGATAGCGCTGTGGGCGGGACATTGCTCGTGTACACAGAGTGGTGACTGCAGCCAGAGAAACGGCCGCATCAGAGCCAAAGTTTTAAATTTGATAAAAAAAAGGCCGATACCGATAATCGGTCAAATGCGGAATATCGGCCCCGATAATCGGCTTGGCCGGTTATCGGGGCCGATAACAGACATATGTAAAAATCTCTCATACACACATGTGAAGCGCTCTCTCTCTCTCTCACACACACACACACACACACACACACACACACACACACACACACACACACACACACACACACACACACACACACACACACACACACACACACACACACACACACACACACACACACAGCGTTGCAGTCGGGAAGAAAAGCAATGTGGAGCGGCACCTCACCACTTCATAAGGAGTTTAACCGTGACACTTTTCGAAATCCCGTTTGTGTCCCCCCACTTTACAAATAGGCCTATGTTTATTATTATTTTTTAACGCAAGCCGTCATCGCCACGGAGGAGCACACAGCCTCTGTGAGCGAACGAGACACAGAGAGAGAGTGATAGAGCTAGAGAGAGCACACCTTTATCTATTTAATATAGTTGTAAAAAATAAAGTAAGAAATCATTCCAATGTGTAGGACAGTAAAAAATAAATAAAAAACAGTTTAAAAGGAGAGTGATTAGTAAAATATGCATAAATAAAAAGAAAGAATGCTAACTAACACAAGATAAGAATAAACAACTTTAAATTATTTGTTATTGGTTGTGATCATATTGTAAAGATGTTTGGATTATTGAAAAGTATACAGCTCCCTTTCATCGGAGTGTTGAGAGCTGTATCCATACATTCATTTTGTGCTCAAAGTGCACCAGATTGATGCATTTAACTTCAGCATGCCCCCGGACCCCCCTAGAGGATGTGAGGTCCACCCCCCCAAATAAAGCAGGTTAAAATAATTAAATTGAATACATTTTCTTTCAGTAAACCCTGAAAACGGGTCCCACAGACCCAAACAGCACACAAAGGTTAAAGGTAAGCATATAACAATGTTAAAATGTGCTAAATATATACACTGCAAAAAAAAGAGGAGTAAAAGTAGCTCACGACTTGTTTTATTTTTTGAAAGTAGCTCTCATCCTAAAAAAGGTTGGAGATCCCTGTTATAGAACGATACATTTGACAATTTTAAGCTTGGCCTACCATTTTATTGGAGCGATGAGGAACAGGTGGGGCTTGAAAAGGCCCACCTGTTCAAAGTGGGGAATGACAGAAAAGGTTTGAGGCTAGTTTGCTATCATGGTTATATGCATATATATTTCTTGACAAAAGATAGACAAGAAAATGTCTAATGACAATGTGTGCAAGTAAAACAAATAGCAAGTATTTTATTATCGATAATAATAGTCGTTTGTTTCTTTATTCATCGTCTGGTCATAAAAATATCGGGAAATAGCCCAAAATATTCGTCCTAGTTTGTCAAAGTCCAACGTAGTGTCTTTAAATGTCTTGTTTTTTCATTCCAAAATCAAGAGATATTAAGTTTTATATGCCATAAAAAAATCCATATTTTGAAAAGCAATTTGATAATGCTAAATAAATCAATGTTTTGGCCATTTGTTCTGCCATTTTAGCCTGAAAATGTACTTTATGATTCATCAGTTTCTGAAGATCGACTAATCGTTGCAGCTCTATATTAGATGCTCGATTCTACTGTAATGTCCTTACAGTAAATATAATAACAATAATAATAGATTTATTTTGTAAGCGCTTTTACAGGTGCTCAAAGTCGCTTTACAGAAATATGTAGATACCTTAAACCAGTTAAGCCCCATGCCCCCGGTACCGGGGGCAAAACGCAACATCTTGCAAGAAACAGCGTATGAGGGCTTCTTAGGCAAGGCAAGTTTATTTATATAGCACTTTTCTGTACGCGACAATTCAAAGTGCTTTACAAAACAAATTAAAAGACTTTTTAGGAATAAATACAGTAAAAACACATTATGTAATGGCATTTTACAACAGGCATTACAAAGCAAAGATAATAAAATAATAAAAATAAACACCACAGGTATACATGTTTAAAAGGCATACTGTAGTGCGAATGTGAGCAGCTCAATTAAAAGCAGCGGCAAAGAGATATGTTTTTAGTCTCGATTTGAAAATAGTAAGCGTTTCTGCGGACGTGCATGATTTGGGTAGTTTGTTCCAGATAGTCGGGGCATAATAGCTAAATGCTGCCTCTCCATGTTTTGTTACTCTCTGAACCGATAGCAGACCCGTCCCAGAAGACCTGAGACACCTTGATGGCTCGTAATTATGTAGGTGTTCAACAATATACTTTGGTCCTAAACCATTTAGTGCTTTAAAAACTAGCAATAGTACTTTAAAATCAGTTATTGGGCCGACTGGAAGCCAGTGTAAAGATTTCAGAACCGGACTGATGTGATCCACTCTTTTAATGTTACTGAGGACTCGAGCAGCAGCGTTCTGAATCAGCTGCAGCTTTCTGATAGATGTTTTTGTCAGCCCTGTGAATACACTATTGCAGTAGTCGAGTCTACTGAAGATAAACGCATGGACAAGCTTTTCTAAATCCTGCTGTGACATTAGTTTTTTAATCCTAGATATGTTCTGCAGGTGATAGTAAGCAGACTTAATAACTGTTGTAATGTGGCTGTTAAAATTCAGGTCTGAGTCCATCCTAGATTTCTAGCTTTATTAGTTGTTTTGTAGTCTGCCGACTGAAGCTCTGCGATTACTTTTAATCAATATTAACATTGAACAAACTATGAATGTGTCATACCCACTTAACGGGAAGAAACTCAGCTATCAGACAATATTGACAATGTTTAGCTAAACGAAACACAAGGGTAATAACAAAGGCTCTGAATTAGCCCTGAGCAAAAAAATGCTAACGCGAAGCAAACACAGACATCACACAACGTAGCTTTACGGAGCAAACACGGGAGAAATGTCTTAACTTTTGCTGTTTCTTATCACAAGTTGTGTTCAATGGCATTCCAATTATAAAAACGCTGCTGAAGGTTAATCCAATGTGTCTAAAATTATTACTGATAATCCATCTTCATATTTATGTCAATAACGGAGTTTTCATATATAGCTGCTATGATAGCTACCAGAGTGTATGACAGCTTCCGGTTTTGGGCATTCTGGCTACACATCACTCTATTCACCAATGGGTAATGTTTAGATGGATTTGAGGAACTTCCCCTCGATTCCATTGGCTCTAACGGTTAAAAAGAGGTGTCAATCATCAAAATCGACCGAGGGGGGCCAGAAATATGGAAAATGCACCCAAATGACCCCAGAAGCGTTTTTTGTTTGCTAAACCTCTCTAAAAAGATAAAATGTCTCTTGTTTGGCATCAATCTTGATACAGGGTACTTATTATATGTTATAGTTTGGATTCCTAAAGCTTTTAGTCTACTATCCCATCATTCAAGGGTTTTCACTATAAGTAATGTAGTTTTTTGGACGGACACTATAATTTACATTTTATTATTATGTTCAATCTAAATTTACTTTAAAATAAAACAATTCTATATTGATTCTGACTCTTCTACATCCAACTCACAGGTTTATCATTGCTTTGAGAAAACATATTATTAATGTACCCCTTTTAGAAGTGAAGATAGGCAATTGTTCTGGGAGTGTCATTGTTCTGGGAGGCCTGAAAAACAGGCTCGGGGCTCAACTGGTTAACAATATTTAATATTTGAGAACCTTGGCTCTGATCAAATTATGTTTTGCCTCAGTAATGTATCTATCTTCCTTTGTCTTGCTGCAGAAAAACCATCCTTACAGAGCAGGCACTCACTGGACAGTTCGAAGGTCCAGGAGAAGGAGGGGCCCCTGTGGATCACACTGGCTCTGCAGAAGCAGAAGGGCTTCAGAGACCAGCAGCAGAACAGAGACGACCGCCGCAGCCACAGAGAGGCCAAACTGTCTGAGAAACAGGGCAGAGACAGTGTATGTGCCCCTGGCTAACTCTTTACACACTTTGTATTCTTTCTGACATTCAAATAGTCTTTCAATATCCGTCTGCTCATATGATCACCCATCTCTTCTGCAGGTTACGCTGGTGAGCCCCACAGAGAGCAGAGGAAGCGGCAGCACCAGTCCGTCCTCTAAACCTCAGACCCCAGAGAAGCCCAAGAGACCGGACAGCCTGCTGGGACGCTTTGAGAGGCGAGAACACCTGAAGAAAGCCAACACCTTACCCAGCTCTGTCACAGGTAAGACCTGCACGTCTAAGGATAGAAGATACATACTGCAGATATGATTATTTCAGTGAATTTTCTAAATGTATTTGGGTAACATTTTATATATTCCTATATGAAAAAATTATCCTAAAAATATTCAGATTAATCCATATTGGATAACATGTCAGCTTCAACCATAAATCAATATTTCTCCATGTTGAAACTCTTATATATTTCAACAATGTATTGATTAAAAAATAGTATATCACACAAGGATAGAGCTGCAGCAATTAGTCCATTTTGTAGATCGACAAGAATTAAGAAATCACTAATTGTTAAATGGTAACTTTTTAACTTTCACATGATAGTAAAGTGAATATTTTGTGGCTTGACGGTTGGCTTGTCCAAGTAAGAATTTAGTCAATTCTGAAGAGCACTTTGTTTTTTAAAGGTTTCTGATGTTTTAAAGACTAAATAGGCCTACGGTATATGGAAAAGATCATCGAGGCACTTATGATAATGCAGATAACACCTGCAGCTAATTCAGTTTCATTTAAAGGATGGATGGATGGATGTCATGCTTTTCTGGTTATTACCCGTCCCCTTGTGTGTTATGTGGCTTTTTCTGCATGTAAACGGTCTGCAGAGTCACAAACCCTCAAAGTACACCCTGTAGCGAGTACAACTCTAAGAAAATACCTGTCTATGCTGCCCCTGAACGCCTCGTTGGAGATTTCTCTTTTTCCATTTTCTATTTTTCCATTTTCTATTTTTCCATTCATGGGTATAGTGACGTATTTGGGTATAGTGACGTAACATTACGTCCGCGGAGCCGTTACGTTAAGTCCGCGGATTGGTTCACACACACACACACACTCAATCTTTTCTCAGCTGCAGCTCTGCCGATTTCTCAGCTTTTGAGACAGGTGTGTGTGTGTGCTCGGGCTGGGAGGGGGAGGGGGGGGTAGGAGCTCCAACAAGCCGTTTAGGACAGAGAGTGAATACACATACTATACAGAGATGCTGTATGAGAAACCAATGTGAGTTTGGAAGATTGCACAATATAAATCTATTCTAGAAATGGGAGCTTTAACTTCTTTGATAAAAGCATTGGAACGGCTTTGTGGTATGGTATAACAAAAAGATGTGTAACTACTGTCCTTGATTTTGTTGTCCCAGTTGAGATTGCAGACTCTACACCGTCGCCCCCTGCTGTCAAGGAGGTGTCAAAGCGCTTCCCCTCCAGTGACTCTCCACAGGTCTCCACGGAGCCGGCCTGGCTGGCCCTGGCCAAGAGGAAGGCCAAAGCCTGGAGCGACTGTCCTCAGATCATAAAATAACTTCCCACTGGACTCTGGCCTGCACAAAGACTGCACACTGCCCCGGACTCTAAAGAACCTGAAGTGTCACCATCACCTGACCCCCCCCCCATGAAAACCCTCCTGACTGTGAAACAAGTAAAGCCCTCCATCACCTCGTAACCCCACACACACTGGCTGGTACTATTATCATGTTAAAGTGCGCTTCACATTTAAATACTTCAATACAATCGCACAGATATATGTAAACAATTGTTGCGCGCATGCAGATTCTGTATACAAACACTAAATATGTCGCAGTCCGGGGGGCAGGAGCCAATCAAATCATGGCTGGCCATCGCAATAGCCAACCCCAATTTAGTTTTTTTATTTTGTAGCCAACTGTGTCACAATGGTTGTAAATAAATAATTTGCTCACACGTGAAAAGGTAAACACTTCTTTAGTGGAGAGGTGAAGCTCTGACATATGACAGTGTTTAATCAACAGAGGGTAACTGTCTGATTAGTTTTTTAAGGGCTACCAGTAACAATAAAACGACACGACACTGTTGGATCTGCTTTTTGACGTCTGATGGAAGTGTTACAGTTGTTGGTATTATTTATGTGAAGCAGCGGATTTATCTATGTTGAAACGATACTGCATCTTCTCTCTGAGCCTTGTTGGTCATGTACAAAAGAAGCCTTTCTTTCTCTCTTTTTCTACTCATACTGGAAACCTTAGCATAACAATTCTCACTGTGTCCGTGATGACTGTGATAGCTGTCAAAGAGGCTATTGTACAATTTTGCCATTATAAAGTAACCTTACATCTGTCATTATCACACGGTGGGTGCACCTAAACACAGCACTGAAGACCAAAAGTGTTACTGGGCATTTACAGTGAACTGCACATGATCCTCCCCACAGCTGTGTGATGATGTGGTTTGGATTTATTTTGCTTTGCTAATGAAAACAGACACAACACCTGCTTGCTGTAACATACAATTATTGTAGCTGTCCTCCCGCAACACACTAGTGTTTGTAGGCTTACGCCATCACTTCCTCGTAAATGTGATATGATCTTACGCGATATTGTAAGCATTTCCTCCTATGAAAAAAAAAGAATCCTCCAGCTTTCTCATTTCCTGCCACTCACTAAATGATCTGTATGTATGTAAGTATGAACTGTACGGAAGTCAAAGGCGTCTCCAGAGCTTCGGTCAGAAAGAGTCACTTTATCATTTTGTTTCTAACGGTCGTGGTCGTGCACAATAGTGTAGTGTACGCAGTGTTAAATGTAACGAGAAAAATGTTTGGTATTATTTGCACTTTTTTTCCCACTTAGAGATATTCATGATGACATTCCTAAAGAAACACAAAATGTTATGAATAATGTAAATTAAATACTGATGTCTGAACTGAAAAACTCATTATTTCCCTGGACTTTAATTAAGGTTGATTTCCCAAAGCACCCACTCTGACACAGATATAGAAAATCATCAGTGTTTATTATAAAAAAGTGTGCAGAAATGAATCTGTGTCTTCTTTGACAGTCAGTTTTAAACAGTACACATAGTCATTGCGGCACCCGACTACGAGGGAGTGTTCATGCAGCACCGGGGATGAAAACAGCTCCCCGGGAAGAGTGAACGAGGCCAGCTTTCCTCCGTCTTCTCCATCCAGGATCCACACTGTGCCGTCTGTGGAGGCCAGAGCCACCAGAATCCCCCTGCGGCCCCCCACAGAGCCATCGAACACACACGGACTGGAGTACACCTTCCCTGTGGTCTGGAAAGTCCAAATCAAAGAGCCGTCTGCGGCGTTCAGGCAGTAGAGGCAACCGTCATGTGATCCACACAGAACCCTCTGATGGTCCGGTGTAACGCACGGAGAAGAGAAGATGGGTCCTTTTGTTAGAAACTGCCAAACCTGCAGAGAAACACACATTGTTAAATAACTTGTTAATAATTGCAATCCTTAAAATGGATAGTAAAGATTTTTTGGGTTGGACTTCCATTAGATGGTGGTTTGATAGCCCTGCCTTTTTATCAAATTAACAATTTCAGTAAAAAAATAAAATCACTATTAATTTAAGTGAACACTATAAATATTTGTACCGCTTTACCTTGGGGAACTAAACCCATTATCTATGCTCTCTTAAAAGCCATCAGATTGCATTGAAAAATAACATTTAAATTTGCAGGACAAACAAGTTGTACAATTAAGTTTTTTGTCAAATAGGCTGGTGGATTTGAACATTTTAAATATATTGTTCAATTAAACTAATATAAATGTTTTTAAGGTGGGCATTTATTTAAGCAGGTTAATTTGATTTTCTACATTACATTGTTTTACTTTCAGCATGCAGACCACCATCTAGTGTACGTTATGCACTGACTATGGGTCAATGATGAAAAGCCCATTAAACAAAAATCTAACTATCCCTTCAGGATCTCAGTCCTGACCACACCCCTGGTCACTGGTAGTGTATAAATCGGGGGAAATAAGTGTTAGTTTCCTCACCAGAGTCCCTGTGTTGCTGACGCAGCAGATGTTTCCATCCACGGAGCCGATCAGCACGTGACCAGACGAGGCGTTTGGTGATGAGAAGAAAGGGATGTCTCTACAGTACGACCACAGGACCTCTCCACTGTCCTGGAACAGCAAAAACTAAATGCGTCAAAATGTCCTTCACCTAACAAAATGACAAAACAGTTTCCTGAAGTTTGTTATTATCTTACTCACAGGGTCAAGACAGAGGAGATGACCTCCCAGTGAAGCCACATACAGCTGTCTGAGTGACGAGTGGAGGCAGGGGGATGAAAACACAGCCCCTCCCCTACAGTGACGCCTCCAAACACACTGCTGAACCTAAAAGATAACATGAATTGAACTTAATTTATCTTCAATACAATTACAAATACATACTTTTACTTCTTAGTTATTCCCAGAGAGTTTTAAACTAACAATGAAAACAAAACAGTTGATCCTTTCTGTGTTTTTATCAGCTTTAAAACCATTTCCCCAACATGAAAGAACATGAAACAAGACACATGCCACAAAACATTTAAAGCTTCCAACCTTTGGGTCCAGGGCGTAGACGTGGCCATCATGTGAGCCCACGATCACCAGCCCTGTGAGGGGGTCCACAGCAGGACAGCTCTTCACAGCGTCTCCAGTCTTAAACATCCACCGTGTCTGTCCAGATGCAGTGCACAGGAAATACACAAAGCCATCGTAGCAACCTGGGAAAGTCCATGAAAAAACATTAAAGAATTCTAAATTAAACAGATTTACACAATATTCTGAGAGCTGGTACCGACCTATCACCACGAGGCTCCCGCAGTGAGACACAGCAGCTGAGGCTTCGATTCTGTCCCCGAGGACCCGCTCCCACAGGAGGCTCCCGGTGGTCAGGTCTAAAGCCTGGATCCTGTGCGAGTGGGAGCCGATGAACACTGTTGTTTTAACCTCCTCTGATCCTGAATCTGTTTTCTGTTGTACTAGAAGCACCGGGGAGGCGTCCACACATCTGCCTGTGTCTGAGGACCAGCTCAGACTGAGGCTCAGAAAATCCTCGCTTCCTCTATCACTCAAATCCTTTTCTCCAAGTGCTTCAGTCTGGACGTTTTTAATTGCTACTGGTTTTCTGATTTCTATAACCTCTCCTGCTCGTCGTATAACTTTAAAAGCCCATGTCCCCCCCTGCGGTCGCTCTGCTGCTGTAGACTCTGTGCGCTCTCTCTTTGCTTCCACCATAGAGGGGGCTTCAGTACGTCGTTTCTTGGCCTCAGATGTCGGTGACTGGCTCTCCTCAAGTGGCGGCAGCAGTGTTATCCTCTCAACATGGCGCAGTACGTCAGAGAATGTCCCGTCAAGAATCACCTGCAAAAGCTCCGGTGAGGTCACTCTGAAAGCAGTGAGGATGTCTTCACAGAGGTGCAGCGCCTTCAGAGAATCTCCTCCACTCAACAGGAAGTTCGATTTCTCGTCGATAGTCGGTTCTTCAGGAAGACCTAGAGTTTCCTGTTGATAGGTAGTTGAGTTTACACATACAAAAAGCAATCTGTGGTATATCAGACTTTTGCATCCTCTTTAAAAAGCTGCTCATATGTCATTAGAGGACAACCATTTATGACTCAAAAACCTAGCATGAACGATATGTTTATATTATTTTCCACGTTGACAGAGTTACATATTTTAACCAACTTTGGTAGAGATAAAAACTACTAATTCCTTTTCAGAACGTTAGAACTTTAATACCACTGTGTTTACATTACTGTTGTTTCTTTTAAAATAAAATGATAATAAAGCAGCAATAACCCTTGTTGAAACCAGGAAAACTGCATGTTTTTTCTAAAAGGGTTAACAGGAGATAATGGCTGAATCTGGATGAAAACAGTAAACATTTGAAGCCAAGACAATATATTGAAAGCCTAGTATAATAGAATTTGTAATTGTATGTTGTAATGGCATTGTGATAACATGTGGTATAATACAAATATTTAAGGTTGAGGCTTAGGTTGAACCTCTAAATGAGAATTACACACACCATAACCAAAATGTATGTTATGTGCATTAATGTGGTCAAAATGAAAAAAAGAAAAAACAAGGGTTCAATTGGAGTTATGTTGGCAAAGTATTGAAAAACAGCTCATACCTGCCACAAGGACTGCAAGCTTTGCCTGAGTTTGGTGACATCTCCCCGTGAAGACTGTAAACACCGTCTCTGTCTTTGGTATATTTTCACAAGGGCCTCCATGTCCACTTTTCCTGTGATAAACCAAACAGAAGGATAACTTAATCAGTGATGGTCATCATGGTCCTCCTCTATGTAACTGTTACTTCAATGCTCACCATGAGGGGTCAGGCACAGGGCCGGCACCTGCACCAGCATGTCGGGGACGCTGTGAGAGGGCAGCAGCAGAGACAGCTGGTTCAGGATCAGTCTGCGAAGATCTTCATCTGCACCGCCTGTCTCCCCCTGGTGGTGACTCACAGCAGAGGGGGTGTGTTCCTGAAGCTCGGCAGAGGCAGAGGGTGTTTGTTCTGGATGCTTCTGTGCAGATGTGAGCGGAGAAGCTTCTTTCTGGTCTCCAGATGTGGATGGCACGACAAAGGCGAGCAGTCGGGTGGCTTCAAACAGAGCCACAGCGCAGGCCTCCACCTGAGGCAGACCCAATATGAGCTGGAGAAGCACAGGAAAAACATGAATTCCTCGCCAGTTCTTCTCCTGAACCATTATAAAACGTGCTCTGTTTACAGTCAGATCACACCCCCTTAATTCAAACCATAACACATTTTTTATCCAGTGTTTAACAGTGTTTAAAGGTCCCATGTCATGCTTTTCTGGTTATTACCCATGTAGCTTTTTCTGCATGTAAACGGTCTGCAGAGTCACAAACTTTCAAAGTACACCCTGTAGCGAGTAAAACTCTAACACAGAAAAGACCTGTCTATGCTGCCCCAGAACGCCTTGTTGGAGATTTATCTTTTTCTTCCTGGGCACAGTGACGTATTTGGGTATAGTGACGTAACGTCCGCGGAGCCGTTACGTTAAGTCCGTGGATTGATCCAAATGGACCAATCCGCGGACTTCCTCACACGCACACACACACACAATCTTTTCTCAGCTGCAGCTCCGCAGTTTTCTCCGCCTGAGACGGCGGGACGCGGCGAGGCTGTGAGTCTGCGTGTGAGCACACACACAAACTCACAGCCAGGCTGCGGGTGTGTGTTCAGGCTGGGTTTCGCTGTGTCTCGCTGTCTCGCAGATGGCCACTGGGCTCACAGGGAGGGGGGGGGGGCAGGAGCTCCAACAAGCCGTTAAGGACAGAGAGTGAATACACATACTATACAGAGATGTTGTATGAGAAACCAATGTGAGTTTGGAAAATTGTACAATATAAATCTATTTTAGTAGACCTCAACAATGGAATTATGATCAGTAGAAATGGCCATGACATGGGAGCTTTAAATCAACTTTTTTTCTATAAAAATAAAATAGTTGAATTTAAAAAGTTGCCATAGGTTTGAGAAGACGTTGGGTTTGTTCATGTACTTGAAGAAAAATAACCCTTTCCAGGATTCTTCAACATAAAAAACACATCTGCTATAAAATATAATGCAAATACTTTATGAGTGAGGGATTGACAACCTTTATAATTTCTTATTTTCTTAGGATTTGCCTTTGATATGAGTATTTTGATGTTGCCCAATGGTGGATTTTCTACATCAACTTAAAACTTTGAGAACTATTATGACACTAAGGCAAGTTTATTTATTAAACATGAATTAATTTGTTTATTTGGACGATACAATATATACATAAAACACCTCTTACTTGTTGCAAGCTGTCCAAGTTCACCCGCTTGCCGTGGCGTTTAATCATCCTGTCTTTGCGTCCCAGGTAGTACAGCTGTGTGT